TCTATGATGCATGATATAATATGATACGTATTGTAATAACCAATCTAAGACAGCCAAGTTCTCTGTTTCTTGCTTGCAGACTCCATAAAATCTTCCATAAAAAACCTCGCACCTTGAAAGCGGTGTGGTGGTGCATTTCTGTAATTTCAGCACTCAGGAGGCTGACGCAGGAGGATCATTGCAAATTCGAGACCAGCCCGGGCTACAAAGTGAGCCCAAGGCCAGCCTGAATGCATACTGAGACCCCGTCTCACAAAGACAAAAAATACCCCTCCCACCCTAAGCCTTCAAGGTCTTGACATTTTGAGGGGCAATTGATTCCTTGTCAGTGCCCATCAAAGTAAAATAAGTTTGCCTCCAAATCCTGGGTGTTGTTTCAGTGTTTCTGCTGTTCTAGCAGTTTTACAGTACTAGAGATTGAACCCAAGGTCTTCTCACTAAGCTACATCACCATCCTCTTTTTATTTTGAGACAGCATCTCCCTAAGTTTCCCAGGCTGGCCTCAAATTTATGATCCTCCTTCCTGAGCCTCCCACAATGCTGCACAACCACACCCAACTCCAAGAACTTTTTTTAAACTTTTCATTTTACTGGTATATTTTAGATCTACATGATAGTGTTCAACATAGGGAGTCTGTACCTGTACCTGATAGATGTTGCTTCTTTTTTTCCCATTCCCCTCCCCCACTTCAACCGTTTGCTCTTTATCTACAAAAGCTTTGTTTCCATTCTTCATTTCTTTTTCCTTTCCTTTCTCCCTTCCCCCTCTTTTGTTCCCCTTCTCTTTTGAACATTTTCTTTCCATTTTCCAATATTCATAATACATTTTGGTCTTAATTTACACTTTTAGTTTCTCACATAAGAAGGAACTTTTTTTTTTTAACATGGCAACATTTAAAATATTTTGTGAGGGGCTGGGGATTTAGCTCAGCGGCATAAGCACCTGCCTTGCAAGCAGGCGGTCGTGAGTTCGATCCTTGGTACCGATAAAAATGAAAGAGACAAAAAATAAAATAAAATAAAATATTTTGTGGACTATAAAGTTCTTTGTAAATGTATTCAAAATTCTCTATATGAAGATTAGATTTTGGCAACTTGTTATAAGAAAAAAGTGTTTGCCTTTTTGCTGGAAAACAGCATATGGCAATCAGAATTTGAAATAATTTCTAAACACAGATGGGGCAATTGCTGAGGTATTTTCACACTGTGTTTCCCACTTTTGTTAATGGCTATTAATTTTTGCTAGATGACTGTGAGGAGTAATTTGTTTTCTCTGCTGTAGGCACAGGTGGTAGTTTTCACCAATGGACACTCTCCTGGCCGATCTTTATCAGTTTTGCTGTGATTTAGTCTGTTGAACTGCTGCTTTATTGTTTTCACAGTCACTTACTGCACTGTAAGCCAACCATGCAGGTAATACAGTCACAACAGAAGATGTTACAAAGTACTCCCAAGGAGGGACCACTGCTTGGGATTCCTGCTCCTGCCTTTGGAAACTTTAGCACGCGCGCACACACACACACGTACACACACACACACATACACACCCATGAACCATGCAGAGAAATCAACCTTGCTGAACATCTCTAGCCATGGGCCTCTTGGTTGACCTTTAGATGTGTGTGCATGAGTGATCTTTAAGAATGGAGGGTTTACATGCTTATCTCCACTGTCTTATACCAGTGAACTACTGTGCTGATCATACTTCACTATAACCCCTGTGTAGGTGGCATCACCTGGAATATGTTTCAGCAGGACTCACTCCAACATGTACAATTGTCAGTGTCCTTGTTTTCATCTACTTCTAGCCATTCACTTGCTTTGTAAAACTGGCAAGTGGCCCTTTTTGCTACATCATCCACTCAGTAACAGTCTGAGCCCTTAAATTCTAGAAAAAAATTGGGGCTAGGGGTTTAGCTCAGCGGCATAAGCACCTGCCTTGCAAGCAGGCGGTCTTGGGTTTGATCCCCAGTACCGATAAAAGTGAAAAGGACCAAAAAAAAAATTTTTTTTTCTAGAAAAAAATAGCCCTAAATTTTAGTGTTTTAATGAGAAGTCCTTTCCAAACTAGTAAAACAGCAGCCCCCAGGATCCCGTCTGTGGCTTATTTGATTGTTGCCAGTGGCCATAGAAAGGATTGGAGGGCAGTAGTATGGTGTAGTGTATCTCTCCTTTGTCACAGTAGAACATTTATGAAGGCATCTGGAAGTTAGTATTCTTTGTTTCTCTTTAAAAGGTAAATAGCACATTGCTCTAAGGAAGGAGATGGGATGTACCTTTAAGCCTTTGAAATATGCATTGCTTTGCTTTTATTGTTCAGGATAGCCACTTGTGCCTTTGTTTTTAAGACAGAAAAAAAAAAATAAAAACAGCCCCAATGTGTGTTCATATATGCTCATTTTATGTGTGTGCTTGAGTAAGTGTGGTGCGCAGAATTGAACCCAGGATCTTGTGCATGCTAAGCAGATGCTCTATGACTGGATTACACCATCATTCCCTTGCATGCTTTTTATTTTGGGGGCTTCTGAGATAGGGTTTTGCTGTGTAGTTCAGGGTGGCCTTGAACTCAGGGGGCACTCCTCCTGCCTCAGACTCTGGAAAGCTGGGATTACAGCTGTGCATCACCACAATCAGCTGATTTTTATTTAAATGAGTCTAATATCTAGAGTCTTGCTGGCAAACCGTTTAGAGCTCTCAGCAGTAAAAACAGCCCGCCACAGTATGTGTGCTGCAGGTTCACCACCACTGACCCGGATTATGTAAAGAACGGAAAGGAGGTAGAGCTCCGAGTAAAAGACCCAATCAAGTCATGGGTAACAAATGATAGACACTTCTGAAAAGAAGAAACGACCAGTAAATGTCTGAAAAATTGTTGAAAACAGTGCAGAAATAGAACATTCCTAAGGGAAGTAATTGCATCGAGAATGTATTGTAGAGCTCAGAAACACTGAATGACTTGTAGATGTCTGGGTATTTTTTTAAGCATTTAAATTTTTGGAGAATTGGCAGTATTGTATAAAAGTTTAGGAGCTTAGGTATTGTGTTTAAATACCAAAAAATGTTAAAAAGTTCCAGAGGCTACTAAAAAGTCATCACAAATAGGCATTAGTTATAGATTATTTCTAGTGCTAGATTTAGTCTCAGATCTCTAGTAATTAAAATATAAAATTAACTGTTCTGAAGGTACAAACAGTGCCAATAAGCTTATAAGGTAGAATGATTTTGTTATACACTGTGGTCTTATTTTGGGAAATGAAATATCTTAACATCTGTTGGTAGAAATAATGGAGGAGAGAAAGGGGAGATTTGGGATAGTTTTAATTCTAATGTGACTAGCATATAAAATGAAAGCTCCCTTTTGGAAGATTATATAGCGAGAAAGTTAAAGCAGCTGCTTCCTTATTGAATTTGCTCATTCCGTAAAGAACACCAGAGAAAACATGGCCAGGATCCTAAAAGTGCTGTTACCCATACGCCTTTTAAGAACAGTGAGTAAGTAGCAGCTAGTTTATAGGAAATGCCTGGTAGATGACTTGTAGATGAGTTTTAAGCAACTGTTTTGTTCGTGAAGTCCTGGAGTGGGGAGAAGAACATAGAGCCTCAAATCATTACTTTTTCGTGCTTTTTATACAACATTTATTCTCTTTTTCTTTTGTCTTTTTCATTTTTATTGGTACCGGGGATCAAACTCACGACTGCTTGCTTGCAAGGCAGGCACTTATGCCGCTGAGCTAAATCCCAGCCCCATATTCTCTTTTTCTTGAGAGGGAGTCTTTTTGAGACAGGGTCTCGGCTATGTAGTTTAGGCTGGCTCTGAGCTCACTTTGTAGCCCAGGCTGTTCTTGAATTTGCACCAATCCTCCTGTCTCAGCTCCTAAATGCTGGGATTACAGGTATGCACACATTTATTCTAAGATTTATAGGCTCCTTACTGGTTTTCATGCAACCAGTAATCTCACACCCCAAGCCCTGCTGCTGCTATTTACATCAGTGTCAATTAAGATTTCATCCATTAATCCTTCCTTGCTGCCTCTGCAACTACTACTTTTTCATCTTTGCTGAGGCTTGGGACTGTTACAGCTTGATGAGCATTGTGATGTTAACACCTCAGCCGTAGGGGAAAGGGCAGGATGCTCCTAAATAAGTTCTGCAGGAAAAATGTCACCCATCAGCAAGATCAGAGTAGTATGAGATCTAAAACAGAGAGCCTAGATGACTGCAAAGGTGAAAGCAGAAGTCAAAGAGGTTGTTCATTGAGGTGGCCTACCTTCTGATGAGGAAAGATGTACTTTTTGTTTTCTAGAAGAAAGTAATTCACAGTAGTCTTTTCGATTAGTAAACTTTCTAATTCCGTAGTTAGTAGAACCAAAGAACAGTCAGCTTGTTTTGACATACCCATCTTTTTGCATTCTTCACATATGAACCTGCTTCTGAAAGAATACTTTGTTCATTCTTTTAGACAACAAAGCATATTCCAGCCACTGCTGCAGTTCCTTTTATCTTAATAGAAAGTCTAATGGACATTAAAGTTGAGAGTAGTGCATATTGTCTTCATTTGTAATGCAGAAGTTTTCTTTATTGACTGCTGTCTATTCAGGTAGACCTTTTATCAGTGAAATGATTTGTAAGATGATTCTTCCTTGGTTCAACAGTCTTCACATTCTGAATTTGATCTACTTAATGGCTACTGAAGTTTTACTAATGTGGAAGCTGAAAGGTGATTCCAGCCTTTGGTTGGCTTACCGCCCTTCCCCACATCAGTACTGTTTTTCATTGTCTGGGTGAGGGTAGTGTGCTGTAGAACCAGATATCGCCTCATTTGGCTGAAATGAATGTAGCCATGCTAACTTCTTACAGTGCTTTGCCGCAGTTGTTAGTTTAAAAATCTAAAACAAAAACAAGTCTTCCCAGGACACTAATGTACTTGAGTTTGTTATTGCTTGCTGTTGCTTCACTTTTCCTTCCGTGTCTTGGTCTCATGCTTCCTAATGCCTGAGCAGGCAGCATCGTCAGAACGTCGAGGAGAGTGGGAAGTCCAGCCCAGCCGGCAGACCAGTACTTCATACTTGACGTCTCACTTGGCTGCAGATCGCCATAGGGGATCAGTGCAGGTACTCACTGCCTTTCCTGCCTTTTCCTAGCTTCCCAGCTTAGTGGGTAGGGTGTTGGCTAGCTCTGAGATGTGGGTCAACTGATGATATGTGTGCTGGTTTCCTGTGTAGGTAGACTTTGGTAACAATACTTGTTAATAACTTCTTGTCATTTTCTAAAAAACATCCTTGATGATTTCTAACATTGCTTTAACCTTATCATGCCGCCTTGATCCATTCATGTTAAACTACAAAAGTCACATCAAGGTAGAAGTGTATTAGTGTCAAGTTATAAAGATCTAAAACATAAAATAAGTACTTTCTGGACAAGAAGATTACATATATAGCTCATGCTGGGATAATATGTGCTTTTGCACATTGCTGCTAGGTGTAATTCTTTTGTTCCTGAGTGGGTACCCAGAGTTGGGCTATTTTCTCTTTTTTTTCCCCCTAGAATAAATACAGTCTTGGAAAATAATCTCTGGCTTCCTTTGGACTAGCTTACCATCTTTCATCTCTGTTCAGTATCAACAGCATCTTATATCTTTTTAACTTTTGTATATGTGACTGTTTTAAAATTTAACCTGAATATTTCACTCATACTGCTTAGTGACACTGCCAATTGAGGCACACAAGGGATACAGAAATGTGTCCTAAATGCTTTTACATGGAGTTATTTCCCAGAGCTTGTTACTCACAGGATGTTGGGAGACATCTTTGACCCTGTAAAGACACTGTAGGAATATGTAGATGAAAATGATGGGTTGAACACATACATCTATTTTCACTCCCTCCTAAATTAGTGGTAATGGAAACTTTTTATAGGCTTACGTCTTTCAAAAATAGTGAAAATAGAAGAGAAGGTAACAACAACAAAATTGTTAGTCGAAGACAGATGGGCATTTATCAAATGATTTCGAGCCCCCAAAAATTTGAACCCTGGGAAATTTGCAACAGACTCAAAGAGTTGGCTCTCTCTCTAAGCAGCAGCAAAATTTACTTGAAAAATACAAGTGATGCTGGGCGTGGTGGCTCATGCCTGTAGTCCCAGTACTCAGGAGGCTGAGGTGGGAAGATCCATGCAAGTTAAAGACCAGCCTGGGTTACAAAGTGAGCTCTGGCCAGCCTGAACTGCATAGCGAGACCTCGTCTCAAAAAGACAAAAAAAAAATTAAAAAAAAAAAATATATATATATACACACACACACACACAAGTGATAAGCTGGGCGTGGTGGCGCATGCCTGTAATCCCAGCATTTGAGAGGCTGAAGCAGGAGGATCATTGTAAGTTTTAAGGCCAACCTGGGCCACACAGTGAGCTTAAGGCCAGCCTAAACTGCACAGTGAGACCCTGTCTCAAAAAGACAAAATAAAATAAAATAAAAGTGAAGAATGAGGAGATAACTGGCTCTGCAGAGTAAGCTTGGGCCAAGTAAAAGAGAACAAGATAAGAATACACCATTGAACTGGGCATGGTGACACACACCTATAATCTGGGATTTGAGAGGCTGAGGCAGAAAGATCACGGGAAGGATAGTTCACTTGTGACTAGTCCTTAATAGTCATAATGTAAACTCTAAGAATTGATCTAGTCAGACTTACTATATAAACTGTAATAGAAGGTTGGAAAAAGATAGCCATTGTGAAGATAGTACCTAAAAATGAAAAATCAAGGTGCATGTTAAAAGATAAGGAATTGCAAAGAAGCAAAAGAATCTATAAAAGAGGAGAAATGGTAAAGTGGAGTTGAAAGTATATTGAATTTCTTAGGGACTGGGGATTTAGCTCAGTGGCATAAGCACCTGCTTGCAAGCAGGCGGTCGTGAGTTCAATCCCCGGTACCAATAAATAAAAAAAAAAAAAAGAAAGTATATTGAATTTCCTAACAGTCTTTGAAGAAATACATGATTCTTTACTGATGTAACTGATAAAAATAAAACCTAGCGATTAAAAATACATATATTGGTTTTACCTGTTATACTGGCAAAAATTTATATACCCACTATTAATTGAATGTGAATTATAGCTATTTCGGAGTGAGTAATGCAGCATCATCTGTTAAAATCTTAAATTTGAATCAGAAAATCCATTTTCAAATATTTCTCGAAGTCCATAAATGCCTTGCTAGGCTCAGGGGCATATGCCTGTAATCTCAGCTACTTGGGAGACTAAAACAGGAGGATCACAAGTCCAAAACCTGGGAAACAACTCAGCAAGACCTTGTCTCAAAACTTAGGGAAATGAGGCTGTAGCTGAGTGGCAGAGCACTTGCCTAGCTTGTGCAAGCCCAAGTTTAATCCCCAGTATCACAGTGAAACAGGAAAATTCAGTTTAGTTTTAACTTTTAGTAGTAGCCACATTAAAAAGAAATAGGTAAAACTAATTCTAATAACATTTTATTTCACCCAGTATGATATGTCTAAAATACATATAGTCAACATAACAGTCCTGAGGAGACAGTTTACTTTTTTTTTCGAAGTCTTTGAAATCTAGTGTGTATTTGAAACTTCACAGCATCTTGGTTGTATTAGCCCAGTTTCAGGTGCATAGTAGCCACATGTACAGTTCTAGAATGTTCATTGCCAACTTACTTATAATGCCAGAAAGTCAGAGGCAACTAAATGTTTTTAGCTAACATTAACTAAACAAATACAGTAACACTGGATAATTGAAAGAGATAAATCTCTGCGTGTTATAGAAAGTGTTCAAGATATGTTATGAAAAAGGCAAATTGCAAAACAGCATATAAAATTGCACCATTTTTATTTTCATAAATATTTTTTGAGAATGCACACTTTTTGTTTCTTGTTATTGGCTTTTTGTCTTTTTAAAATAGTCTCTCACTTTTTAGCCCAGGCTGGTTTTGAATTTGCAGCAATCCTCCTTTTCAGCCTCCTGAGTGCTGGGATTATAGGCATGCTCCACCATGCCCCCACTCACACCCTCAATATAAGCAGAGAAAAGGACTAAGAGTACGAATCAATTAATGTAGAGTAGGGATCACATCCCACTTTCAGCCCATTTATGTGAAGTTTTGCTAGTAACTACCACACATTTCTTTCTGTACTATCTATGGTTGCTGTTGCACTGTACTGTCAGAGTTGAACAGTTTGAGCAGAGATTATCTAGCTCTCAGGTTCTAAAATACTTCCTATTTGGCCCATTCTTGAATACTTTGCCAGCCTTGTGTCTAGAGAGCTTGACCTCATCTAACTGTTCATTTCTATGTGCTGGTGGTGCTGGAAACTTTTTGTGTTGTGTGTCTTTTCTAATATACTTTGTTTTGGAGGTGGGAGGAGTTCTGGGGATCGAACTCAGAATCTTGCACTTGCCAGCCAGGCACTTAGGCTGCTGAGCTAAATTTCTTGCTGTCTAGTACACTAAAAAGTTTTTTTTTTAAAATTTATAATTAGAAGGAAGAAAAAGATAAGCTCACATACATACCCTTTTGATGCTACAAGCTAAACCCTAGGAATGCTGAGCTACATTCCTAGCCTGTTTTGTTTTTTCATTTTTGAAACAGTCTCACTTAGTTCCCCCGCCAGGTGTAATATGGCCAAAGGAATATGAGGTTACTATTCATTGTAATGAAACAAAGGTCCATATTTTGGGTGTGCAAATAAAAAATTTTATTTGAGTATTTAGGATCAAATCCAGGGCATTCACACTGAACTACATTGCCAGACCTTTGTATTTTGAGATGGGGTATCCCTGAGCTACTCAGTCCCTCAGGCTCATTGCTAACTTCGGGTCCTCCTGCCTTGGCCTCCCAAAATACTGGGGTTATAGGTGTGCATCATTGGGCCCGATTAATATCTATTTTTCCCCCTCTTTTTAAGACAGGGTCTCGCTATGCAATTCAGGGTGGCCTTGAGCTCACATTGTAACCCAGACTGGTCTCAAACTCGCAATGATCCTCCTGCCTCAGCCTCATAAGTGCTGGAGTTACAGGCTTGTGCTACTATGCCCGACTAATATGTTTTTTTCAACTTTATTTTTTTCCAAAAATTTTAATTAATTCATGTTAGCAGTTGTAATAATTGTATTTTTCATGGGGAGTACTTGTTCCTAACACATCTTAATTCTTTTTTTAAATCTCCTCCACCCTTCAAAAAGTTATATTTTTGAATTAAGTTATACTAAAAATTAAAAAGCAAGATTACAATAGTGCGATATTTAGTAATTCAGGCTGGACACACTAGCATGCATCTGTAGTTCCAGCTACTTGGGAGGCCTTAACCCCTGACTTTGAGAATAGCCTGGACAATCTAGAGAGACCCTATGTCTAAATTTATATACGTGTGTACAGAGGTGCCTCAGTTTGTGAACTCAATTCTTTCCATGATTCTGTTGCAAACCAAGTTAGATGAGAACCAAATCAAATTCAGTGGTTAGGCTCAGTGTTCATCTTATGGGGAAATTTGATTTGATTCTCATCCAGTTTGATTTATAACCAGAATCGTGGAGAGAACTGAATGTGCAAACCACTGTTTACACTTTTTCAAGTCGCTTACCTGGGCATCTTTGGATTTGTTAGTATAGGTAGGCTATTTGGCCTGTCTTACAGAATTAGAAAACAGGACTTACAGAAGATGTTGATTTTACAGCTTAGCCTGGAACCTGGCTTTCTGTCACACTAGTGTTTGTTCCACTGCAAATCCATACAGCAACTCAGTGGTTTGGCAGATGATCTCCAACCTGAACTAATTCTATGAATGCTATAAAGCGCAGACTTACAGCCATCCAATCATGTTTTCAGGGCACTTAAAGTGTATGGATAACTGGCAGTAAGATTTTAGCTGTGCCCAAGTCATTTGAGACCAGATGTTCAGTGATACAGATGTCTATTGGCACGCGGGAGGAGGGTAATTGGGAATGGAACTTAGGACTCACACTTGCCAGGCAGGCACTGTGCTACTGATTTAAATCCCCAGCACCCAGATGTCTATACTGTAAGAGGGGGGTGACCTCTTCCTTAAATTGCCTTGAGGACCTGGCTTATTCATAGGGAGGAAAGATGAGAAGACATAAAATGTGGGAAATACTGTGACCAGATACTGTGAGGCAGGTTCCCCTGGTGATTCTTACTGGTGACACTTTTTCTACTTCACTCACAGCAGTAGGAGCTAAGAAACTTGTTTATAACTGGGCACAATTTCAGATACAGGTAATCCCAGTATGCAGGAGGCTAGTTCAGCAAGATTTAGTGTTGTTAAAGATGTTAAAGATGAAGCTCAAAGGCCTTGGGATAAATCACCCATACCTCTTTAAAAAAAAAAAAAAAAAAAAGGAGTTGGAAGTAAATTTTGGGAGGGGTTACTGTGGATCAAACTCACGATCTTGTGCTTGCCAGAAGGCACTTGTGCCACTGAGCTAAATCTCTGGCCCAGAAATAAATTTTATATAAATCTTAACTAGTTTCTGAATTGTTTATTTAAAAACTTACTGTGTTTTTTTTTTTTTTTTTCCTGTAACCCTTGTGCCCACAAAATGAACTTATCAGTGTTAATACTGATGTGTGCTCAGGATGTGTCCACAGGAAGCATATGTAGTCCTGACGATAACAGCATCTTAGTGTTAGGGTCATTCTCTTCTCTGTTCTAAACTTGTCTCCTCAACTTTATATCTTTACTAGGTTTTCCCAACTCTTTGTGTTTGTATGTGTGTATGTGTGTGTATGTGTTGGAGGTTGAACCAAAGGCTTTAAACCTGAACTACATCTCCAGCCTTTTTGTTGTTGTTGTTGTTTTGGTACTAGGGATTAAACTCATGACTTGCGCTTGCCAGGCAGGCACTTATGCTGCTGAGCTAAATCCCCAGCCTCCAGTCCTTTTTGAGACAGGGTCTCACTAAGTTTCAAAGGCTGGGCTCAAACTTGATATCTCTCCTACCTCTGTCTTCTGAGAAGGCGTGTTCTGTGTCCCCGACTCATACATTTTTTGTGTGTAATTCTCAAAACCTGTAAGAAGTTATTTACCCAAGGATATCCTTTTCGAAGCATTTATCCTATTTTGTGGTTCTCTCCCATGTTTCAGCAGAGGTCTTTTAACAGCAGAGTGGTTTGTCCAGCGGGGTCTCTTTTCCCACTTTGCAGCTCCCTCATAAATCAGGAATCATGCACTGGAAATGAAACCAGGTGGCTGAAGCAGCTGTACAAGCAAGAGAAGCATGACCGGGGCCACATTAACCAGATGACAGGAGTGAAAGCCTCCACTTACAGTCAGGGACCATCACTGAGAAGTGGGATGACAATGAACCTGAAATAAAGGTTGTTGAAATCAGACTGGTTTTCTAAAGGAAAATGTTTCCTAGCCATTTCCCTCTCACCAGAGAGGACGTGGCAGCCTTGTTACTTAAGTAACTTCAGTGGTCAGAGTCAAGAAGGCATTTCTGAAGGAAAGTGTGATCATTTATATTTTCTGATGCACAGTTTTTGTATCCTTTTTCAAAAAAAATTTCCCCAGTTCTGAGACTGACTTCCAGAGCCTGTATACTGAGCTATATCCCCAGATGGTTATTTTCTTACTTTTGAGGAGGGTTTTTGCTAAGTTACCTGGGCAGGAATCAAACTTGTGATCCTCCTGAGGCTTCCTACAGTCCTGAAGTCAAAAGAGTGCACCATTCTGCCCGGCTTCCAGAGTTTTTTTGTTTGTTTTGTTTTGTTTTTAACTGTCATCGCTGAGTCCATGTACTTGCAGCATAGTAAACTGAGTAGAATTTCCCCACTGTATACAGAGGAGCAAAGTGATTTAACCTTCAGAAGTCGACTGTGCAGTTACTTTAAGCTCAAAAAAGTACTGTACACAGTTTTGCAACATGAAAAAAATTCTGTTTTTAAAAGTTTCCCTCATGGAAGTCCATGGACCTTAATTTAACCCTTGTTTGAATCATTTTTTAGGGTTTCCATCCATAAAAAGAAAGTAACGGTACTATTTCAGGTTTTTCGTGAGGGTTAAACTTTTACACCCACATACAGTGTAGCAAAGTGTCTGACACAAAATAAGTCACTCAGTTTGGAGGACAGAATCCCCATTCATTGATTATACCTTTGAATTGCATATTCTCACATGATAAGAGTGTGGGCGCCCTCCCTAAATTAGTGACCTCTTAACCCAGGAAAACTAAACATCTTAGGTGACCTGCCTTCATGCCCACAGGATGCTTGTGTTACCATGGCACTTGTCACAGTCTGTCCTTCTGTTTCAGGTGGTCAGCTCAACCAATGGGGAGCTGAATGTCGATGATCCAACAGGAGCCCACTCCAATGCACCAATCACTGCACATGCTGAGGTGGAGGTAGTGGAGGAAGCTAAGTACGTTCACCTTTCAAGGGAGCTCTTGCGTCATGGGATAAAAAATCTTTTTTGTCTCCTTTTGTGTACCACTCATCTCAGATTGGATTCCTCATGCTTGTGTCCACAGCTTCTTTCTTTGACTGTTTTGTCTTTTGCATGGTTCCTTAAGGCTGCTGCTGCCCTTCTTTAGCTTGATTTCTGGAAAGATAGTCTCATTTTGCTAGACCACACCAGACAAAGCACATGGTACATAAACTAAAAGAATTACAAGAACTACAATGAGTAGTAATTATGTGCCTCTTGAGGCCCTGGAGCTTCTTACTGCCTGTGGGAGGCAGACAGAAAACTACGGGTCATGATGAATGGCATTAAATTTCTGGTTGTTGGCCAGCAGCTCTGCATGTATAGTACTGGAACAGAGGTCTCAGGGCCATTTTGCTCTCTCTCTTTCTCTTTCTCAAATGATACTGGACTCAGATTAAATAAGTCAGGCACAAAAACAGTCTGCATCTATGAGTCTTGAGAAGGAAAGAAAGGACAACCTTAATCCAAGAAGGTGAGGCAGTCATCTCATACCTCCCTGCTTCTCTTGCATGTGTGTGTCTTGCCCTGTGCATACCACTGGCCCTTTGGTGCTCTCCGCATGGTCTGTGTTTAAACTCCTAGAATCTGGGGTGGAAGGTGAAATAATTAACACGTCTCCTGCAAAAGCAACATTTCTACTTCTTTCCCTTTTCCCCATTCCAAACTGAGAGTTCATCTTAAGTTCCAAGAACTTACCAGGAAGGGAGAGAGAGAGAAACATCATGAGTAACTGCTGCCAGCCTTGCTAGGGGAGACCTTTGAGAATCTTCTGGATGTCCCAGTAACTTAGCCTCTGAAATAGGTGGTGATACTGTACCCAAAGGCATTTCTTAAGTGCCCAGGTAGCCTAAATACAGCCTGTGGGTTAGGCAGATGCCCTCCAAGACCTGCCTCCGTCCCATCAGGTATGCTCCCCTGTTCTCCTGCCCATCTCTGGTGAGGTCATGTTGCCTTCGGGAGGTCTTTTTTCTTGGAAAGCCAGGGCTTGAGGGTTTCCCACTAAGCAGATGAAAAGCAGCCGAGGATGACCTGGACTGCCTACTGTGGTGCCCCTGCTGTCTGTGGGCAGCTTCAGGTGCTCTTCTCCTGACTGGTGAAGGACACCAGCAGAAGGCCATTTTTAGTAAGAAAACTCTCGCCTTGTTCTCAGGGACTCTGGAGAGTTGAATGGTATTCACTCTCCCCAGTAAACAGAACAGCGGTCCCACTGTGTGGGCTCGCAACCATGGCTGAACTTTGGAGTCACTTGGACATGTTTTAAAAAATGGCAAGTGCCGGGGGCTGGGGATTTAGCTCAGCGGCATAAGCACCTGCCTTGCAAGCAGGCAGTCGTGAGTTCGGTCCCCGGTACCGATAAAAATGAAAAAGACAAAAAAAAAAAAAAAAAAAAAAAAATGGCAAGTGCCTGTCCATGGCCCCAGAGATTCTGATTTAATTTATTGGTGGGTAGCTTGAGTCTCAAAAGATTTTAAAGATCAGGTAATTCTTAAAGGCAGCCAAGATGGGGAACCATGATACTACACAAGATCTCTTCTTGAAAGACAGCCATTTGTATTCTCATGCCTGCCCCACTCACAGTTCATGTTCACATACTACTTTTTAGAAGTCCAGTTCTGAGTTTAGAGCATATTTCACATGCCAAGATCAAATAGAATTTAGTCTTCTGCTATGCACTAAACAAGTTTACTTTTTGGACCCATTCATCTCATTTCATTTTGGTAAATGTGTGCACTAATTGTGTGTGTGAGTGTGGTATTTGTTTCCTGTGTGTACAATAGGGGGCCATTCACACACACTATTCTGGTATACTTCATTCTGAAGTGATGGTATCTAGAAGGTCAAAAGAGTTAAAAGTCTTTCTGTTTAATAAAAGGACTCCTGTGCCTCTTTGCCACCAGCTCCAGGTTTAGGCCTTCTGAAAGGCATAGAATCCAGTATGACACAGTTGCATTTGATCAGATGTTACCCAAAGCATACATTTGACATACCATGTCCCCTAGTGATTTCATGAGCTACCAACTTGTCTTAATGGGAAACTGCCAGGAACCTCCCATGTATTATTCTGGCCCTCTGAGATCAGGTGGGGATAGCCACATGTCCTCTTGCTTGATCGTGTTCTTAGCAAGAAGTCACAGCTAGAGAAGCACAAGGGATCCCAAACTGTCCCTCGTTGACTGCAGCAATGATGCCATGTGTTCATGCAGCCTGTTTGCAGGGCAAGGGAGGCTCTTGGCTCTATTGCGGTTTAGCTTGGATACTGTGGAGACTAAAATCTTCATTTCCAAGGGTTAGGTGCTGGATTTCTCATTCAGCTTGTTCTTTGTAAAGTAGAAGGAAATAGCAGGGTCTTGGGTTTTGTTCTATGTATAAAATGTGTCCCTACTTTAGTCGGAAGATTGTCCTTGTTGAGTATAGTTGAAAAGTCAGTGAAGACAGGTAGCTTTTTGGTTGATTTTTGTAATAGTAAGACCAAAAGAATTTTCACTTATCTAATTTTAATTATAATTTAACAAATGCAGACCTCATTTCTCCTGAGAACTAGTAAAAGAATCTAAGTCCTTCTTTGGCAGTTAAACCCAGAGAAAGAATCCTCCTCTCTCTGATTGATCTTCTGTTGTGATAAAATGTCTCTTAACCCTTGGCTCTCCCTCTGCTTTGGTCAGACACAATGGCTTACAGAAAGCCAGGGACTTCTTTTTCCCTCAGAGCACAAGGAGACGAGCTCAGCACTGTGTGGAGGACCTCATTGAGGAAGCAAAGAGCTCAGCCGTGATGCTTGATGGAGTTCTCACAGGCAGAATCCTACCAGGAAGCTACCAGAAAAGGCTGTGCTGGGGCTCCCACTCACTCTGTTGCCTCCCTGAGACTCCTTCCTCCCCTCCACTTTATCGTGGGGACCTCACCCGACCTCAACAGGAAGAAACTAAACACAGACACATACTGCATGTTTGCATGGCTCACAGGGAGTTGCTTCCATCTCATCTCTGTGGACTAATATCTCTCTTTCTCTCTTCCTGTGTTTTTCTCTTTATATACTCTATAGCTGCCTGAAAATGCTCAACCTGTGGTGAGTCCCTCTCTCCAGCCCACATGCAAGGGGAGCGGACCAGAGGAGGCTGGGATTGGCAAAGCCAAACAAAATGCCTTAGGAGTATTGGCTCACTCCCATTTTTCTCCTTATGCCACAACCACCCCAACTGGGGAGCTCAGTCCACACGATGGGGGTGGGGTAGCAACTCCGAGGAATTAATCTCTTTTTGTTCATATCCACCCCATTTGTCACTGCCTCCTCCCACCAGAACAGGATCCCAGATTGTCTCATTAAGTTAGCTGAATTTTCTCCCAGAGCAGTGTGCACTGATGCGATCAGAGGGAGAGGGGCTGAGGTGAGAAGGCCAGGCTGCCATTGCAGGCCCATCGTGTGTGTTTCTTCACAACTTGCCAGGGACAGGGTTGTTGCCAGATACTTGCACATTCTGCAGCTCAACTTCTAACCTTGCCACTTGGGAAAAATCAGTAACTTTCATTTCTGATTCAGCTAATGCTTCTACCAGTAAAGCAGGAGTCTCTCAAAGAAGACAACAACTTCAGTGAGAAATAGACATTTTTCTGTTGTTTTGGGGGTCGTTTTGTTTGTTTTTTGTTTATTGTCTTTTGCTTTCTTCCTTTACGTGTAGTAAGCCATGGACTAACTTAGCTGATGATATTGGACCCTGACTATTCCTAAAAAAAACAAAAAACAAAACAAAACAAAAACACCGTGAATGCATTTTTAGGGATAAATGGGGCAGGGTAGGGATAAAAAAAATTTTTTTAAGTGAGTATATGGAGGCTATGAAAGAGGCATGTTGGTGAGCAGCATTCTTGCTAAAAGATAGGGCTCCTGCCTGACTCTTCTGGACACTGCTCGTGACTTTCCTGGTGGTCCTGACTTTGTTGGTCCATACAGTCTAGAGTGTAATTCCCTCTCTTTGCTGCACACATAGGGTTGTCACCTGCACTGGGGATGACAACCTCAGTCCTCTTTCTCTTGGATGACTGGATTGGGCACTGATTCCTGAGTCCTGATGTACAAGAGTTTCTTGGGAATGAGGATACAATAAGGGTAAAGTTGGGTTTTATGGAGCTAGGATTTGTGGTCTTAGGTTTCAGTGAGCATGTTCGACCTACTCATTTTGCAAATGTGTGTCTGTATAATCTGACATTGTCGTGATCTATATTTTTCCTGTGAGGTGTCAGTCATACAATCCCAACTGTAAACACTGGAGCTCTTATGCTTATCCAGCCCTGTGCTTGGAAGGCTGGAGTGACCCAAGGTCTCCCCAAAAAGCTTAGGTACCATCCAGCTAGGGAGAAAAGACATGTATAAAAGGACAAGGCATTTTCCAACACACTTAAAATATTATTCCTAGAAGGCTCAAGGGACAATAGGTCACATGAATAGTCAAGGAAGAATTAGTAGACCCATCAGGATTTGAACCTAGTACTATAGCAAAAGGGTGCCGTAGAGAAATGGAGCACAGCCAGGGAACAGGTGGAACATGAGGCCCAGGACACGTAAGAGAGTGGGGTGAAAGTAGCACCCAGTCAGAGGCTGCAGGGGAAGCTCTCAGGGACTTGTGAGTGGGAATCTTGGACCAGTTATAACTCTGGCATGCTGAGAACTTCTGGTCATCCAGTCAGACTCTGCTGGAAGGGAACCTGGAGAGGAGCTGATCACCTGGGGAACAGTCCGTGGTTTGGTCTAGAGTCCAGGCCTGTGGTGGTAAACCTATGCCACGCATGCCACAACCAGCTAGTTGTCATCATTGAATGCTCTGAAAGGTTTGGCATCACTGGCCTAGTCCATTTCAGTGGGGCTTGCTGCTAGAAGTCACCACAGAGTTCAAGAGCCAACTGTGGGGAGGTAGCTTTGTTTTGTTTGTTGTTTTGAGACAGGATTTCCCTATGTAGTTCACACTGGCCTTGAACTTACAGTGAATGCTCCTCTTGCCTCAGTTTCCTGAGCGCTGGGATTACAGGCCAATGAAAGCACATCCAGTTCATGACTTTCTTGTAGAGAGAAATTATTAATAGTTTCTACTACTATTGAAGCTACAACTATATGAATTAGCAAAAAATCAACCTAGTGCTCCAATTTAAAATATAGCAGTTCCTGTGAACCACAGCTCGTGATCTCCAGTCTAGAAATTCAGCATAGCACATTCAGGGTGTGTGTGTGTATGTGTGTGTGTGTGTGTGTGTGTGGTGCTAGGACTTTAACCCAAGGCCTTGCACGTGTTAAGCAAGCACTGTACCACAGCTAAATTCCCAGTCTTTTTTATTTTTATCTTGAGGCAGATCTTGCTAAATTGCCCTAGCAGGTGTTGAAGTTGTGATCCTTCTGCCTCAGCCTCTTAAGTTATTGGCATATACCAACATGCCCAGCTGTACATTAGATTGTACATGCTTGCGAGCAGACATTTGTTTGATTTGCCTTGGAGAACATAAAAGACAGACACTGCACAATATGAAGTAAACCGATGTATCAAACTTTTTCAGTTTTTATTTAAAAACAAAATCAAAAATAAGTAAAAACACAAAGTCATCTTCTTTTTTTTTTATTTTTATTTTTTTGTCTTTTTCTTTTTTATCAGTACCGGGGATCGAACTCGCGACTGCCTGCTTGCAAGGCAGGCGCTTATGCTGCTGAGCTAAAACCCCAGCCCCGAAGTCATCTTCTTAAGCATCCTCCAAAAAGGATAAGAATAGAAGCCAAGCATGGTGACACATACTTGTAATCTTAGCTGTTTGGGAGACTGAGGCAAGAAAATTGCAAGTTTAAGGCTAATCTGAGCAACTTAGACCTTATCTTAAAATAAAAAGGGGCTGGGGGTGGAGCTCAGTGGCAGGACACTTGCCTGGCACATGCAGGTTCTGGGTTTAATTTATAATACCACAAAAAGAAAGCCTCTGAAAATTATGGGTAAGAGGGAACAGGTAAGACTGTTGAGACATTGGTGCTCCTATGATTTCATTTGCCACTTTAATGTTAATTTCTAGACTTTCCACTTGGAAAATGTCTGTTTCTAATATATCTGTATAGTTACATCTTGGTACTTGACTGCTTTGAAGCTCATTCTACTTGATACTGGACACATTTTAACAAGATAGAAAGTTGTTTTTCTCTGCCACTCATCAGACCTCCCGGAACCAGTTAACAAGTACTGAGGTATCACTGTACCAAAAAAGTCTGTTTCCCTTGAATTCTTACCCAGGGTTTCTATTCAGGATAATTTTTTTGGCAGGGGTGAGGGAGAGCACTGGGAATTGAACTCAGGACCTTGTGCTTGCTAGTCAGTCACTTGTGCCACTGAGCTACATCCCCAGCCAAGGATAATTTTAATTGGGTATATCGATCACTTTTATTTTAAAGAATATATTCAGTTTCTGGGGCTGGGGATTTAGCTTAGCGGCATAAGCGCCTGCCTTGCAAGCAGGCAGTCATGCGTTTGATCCCCGGTACCGATAAAAAAGAAAAAGACAAAAAAAGAAAGAATATATTCAGTTTCTTGGTACATTTCACACTTTGATTACTAACTGTATTTATACCCATTATAGGAACCCATTAATTTGAATAAATTCTAAATGTCACTAATGTACTCAGAGAAGAAATTTTAAGAGACTCTTGAAAAACTCCTGTTTCCAAAATTTCCAAGTTTGATTTATTTGGATTTGGCTAAAGCCCATCAATCTCTGTATAAATATGTATTTCTGCATTCCAAGAAACCTCTCCATGTTTCAAATGAGGTTATGGGATGTTGTGATCCCAAAGGGTCTAAGTAAACGGGATTCTTAGCTCAGTGAAGAACTTAGGAGTAGGGGGGAAATGAAAGCATTCTATATTTCTGTACAGATTTTCCTTGTTTTAAATCTGGAAGGATAGGCAAGAGACTTACAGATACTTTTCTCTGAAAAGCTTTTTTCCCCCTGGGTCCAGGGAGTGTACGCTACACCTCAAGCTTTGCTCCCCACTATTCATCTCATCTTCTCCTTTCTGCCCCTTGTATCCTCACTTCCCTGGAGAGAATGTATCTTTTGCTCCAGCCTTGCCTCAGCCCTCATCACCCACCTCCCATTGCCTAAGCAAAGCCCACAGATGGGGTGGGGGTGCGGGACTAAGGTGGAACAGGCTGTGGCTGTCCCTAGGAGGCAAGCACTTGGAGGGCTGTGACAGAGACCTGAGCCTCTGCCCTGTTAAACAGGGCCCAGTCTGGAGCCTGTGTGGCACAGCAGCACAGCCTCTGGTAGCTGGGCGGGAGCACATTGCCCCCAGAGAGCTTCTGAAGGATCACCTCCTGTACCTGGGTTTTGATCCCTTGGGATGAAAAGGAGCTGTGCTGCTCTTAGGAGACAGGGCTCACAGTTCCTGTGTGAGTTGGGGCTTCTACATACTTCCAAGTATAGAACAGGGGCAGGAGTTGGGGTAGAGACAAACACTCTGCTTGTTGATTCCATCTTGAGATCTTTCCAGAGTTCCAGACATTCTGTGTTTGTGTTAGTTTAGCCTCATTGCCCTCTGGCTAGTAAGTTGCATTAAATAATTTATCTTCAGTATCTAGGAGCAGGTGATATGGGCTACTCTTACGTAGCCCTGAGCAACCCCAGCCTTATTTCAAGACAAAGATGAAGCATCTGGGTTGAGTGTTAGACTAGGGGAAAAGTGCTTTTCACCCTCCTTGCAGAAATGCCTCACAGTCCTACCTAGCATGCAGCATTTTGATAATTAGGTTGGACAGCTGCAGATTGAAAATAAGCAGCTGATTGCTTTGGCTTTCCTGGCAGATGATACCCGCTGCCTCATTGTGTGCACTGTTGATGGTGGGCAGCCCTGAGGGTGGTTACCAGGGGGAAAGTGCCACCCTCTGCAGCAAGCAGAAGCAGGCAAAGATCTGCCAGAAGCTGTCGCCCTATAGCACTGACTTGCAATGTTCCTTGTGCTCCAGGTGCTGTTGTTTCTTTAAGAGGAAAAGGAAGAAGAATGCTCAGCGCCACAAGTGACCAGTGCCTCCCAGGAGTCCTCAGGCTCTGGGGACTCTGACTCCATTGCACCTGCAGCTCCTGCCATTTCTCATTGGAAGGAAATCCTCTGTGGGGGAGGGTGGAGATCCAAACCAAAAAGAAGAAGCAGATGCCCCCAGAAGGAGCCAGTGCAGGCAGCCAGGGTCCTGGTGGGTCAGGGGCTGCCCCTCCTGCCTAAGCTCCGGGCGGGTCCCAGAGCTGCTGTTCCTGCACTGCCTGCCCTGCGGCTGCCTGGTAGACCTTCTTCCCATTGTTTACAGCAAAGGCCTCATTCACAGAAACTCAAGGACTACTGCGCACTTCCCTGCCCTTCTTTATTCCTGGTTCTCATCCCACCCTCAACCCTCTGCTGCACAAAAGCTAGTGAGCTAAAAGCTTTGCGTGTGGAGAGGGGGCCCAGGATCAGGAAGGCCAAAAAGGCAGGAGGAAAATGGCAGGCCCAGGCCAGGGCTGGAGAACCGTCTTTCTCCACCTCCCTGTGTGTCTGCAGCATGGCTTCCTCTCCTGTGTGCCTGGGCAGCCTCCACCCAGATGGCCACAGGGTTCAGGTTCCTTCCTTCCTCCCTCCTGTGAATTTACACTGTAGGACACAAGCTGTGAGAAATCTGCAGTCTACTGTCCCCATGTGGTGGCATTTTTTAGCTTGCTTGATGAGTGAGTTCCTTTCTCCAGGCAGTAGCAGGACATGCAGGTTGTTCTGAGCAAAGGAAAGAAAACTGACTTTATTGCACTTTTAGTTTTTTTTTTTTTTTTTTTTAAAAACAACATGGCAGATGCGTATTATGTCTAGTTCTATTGGGAGTTTTACTTTTTCTGTTTTGAGGGGATGGGCCAGCCAAGCCATTCAGAGAGAAAATGGGTCCAGAGGATGTTTTCCATAGAAAGAGATTGATTGGCAGCACCCAGAAGAGAAGAAGCCAAACTGTCACTCTGAGTGAGCACTCAGGTTGGCAAAGAAACATACTTGAATTTTCATTCATCTTCTCAGCTGCTGAAGGATGTCCCTACCAGAGCCTCCTGACCTAACCCACCTGCCCTTCGCAAGCCTAGCTCTCCAGCAAGTGGGGTGAGCGGTGACCCATCTGCGACCAAAAGACCCCACAGAAGGAGATATTCATCCCAAATCCAAAATGTCTTTTTCCTCACTGCCAGGGACTTCCTACTAAATAAGTCATGTCACTTTCTGATGATTTCGGGGATGACTAAACAGCCACTACTATATTGCCACTGGAAGACAAAAAGCAGACAGTGAACTTGCCTTCCAACTGCCAGAGAAGCTTCAAGGCATGGCATCATAGGGCCATGAGAAGAAAGTCATTGTGTCCCATCTGTCTTGTAGCATTTGGGCTGGCTTGCCCTACCCAAAACCAGGCCTGTAGCATCTGGACCAAGCACTATGTGAATAGGAGTATAGGAGGTTGGTGCTGGGAAACTCCAGGGAAAAGGAAACTTAACTAAAAGGTTTTAATTTATCTTTTAATTGGGTATAACTTGAATATAAGATGCATCTGAGCATGTTTTCCCAGCACACCCAACATTCCCACCAAGGTGGCTTCACAGGGCGGAACACCATGAAGTATCTTAGTTCCTCATTCACTGTTTGAAATTAGTAATGTCTGGAGCTAATGTCATGCTCCATTTTCAGTTCAGGAGCCTTTCCAAACAATAGTTTCTCATCCCTATGTGACAGAGGAGAAAGGATCATTTATATCAGGGGAAGAAGTCTTGTACCTAAAGCAGAGAGCTAACCACGCAGGTCCATAGCTATTGTAGTCTGGTGGCTTGGGGAAGCATAGAAATGTTTGTCCCTGGCTTGAGGCACAGGGGTAGCTATTGGAATGGAGGAGGAGGACATATATTCTGGTTGCTGGCATTTCCTGACAAGTCCATAGTGTACTTTATATGAATCAGAAATGCCTGATGTATCAGAATTACCAGATTTACTTATTCCATGGGACCCAGGCTTGGGAAAATCACTTTATTGGCTCCAAACCCATTTATCTATGTAAAGACTGCAATCTGCCATTTCTTTAAAAGAAGTATTTCAGTATGTGAAATAGAGTGGCCGGAAGAGGCAATGTTGTATCCCTTCCCCACAAGGACTTTGACTACTGGGGTATGCTTGCCTGCTGATACCTGATAGATAAAGGCCATCACCAAAATTTGCAACGTCTCATTTGGCATTTGGGCAACTCTTAACTTCCTATAAAGAAATTTTAATTTCCTCTTCCCTGTGTAGAAAATACCTTGCCTTTCAAGGGAGGGCAGGGGAAATGGTGGCAAAGCATGGAGCATCCAGGTTCATTGTACCCCACTAAGTGCCTCCCCCACCCTGCTTCTACAAAAAAGCAAAGGTAGTGACTAGCTTGGCCACCAAGCAGGCTGCCTTGCTGCCAACTTTGTGGCTTTTTTTTTGTCTTAAAATTTTTATAGGCTAGCTCTTGAGGGGTTAAACCTGAGCAGTTGGGGGGTGGCTTCCTAATGCACTATTCTCATCTTCCAACACCCCCCTTCCCATCTCTTCCTAGGTGTTTGGTTTTCATAGCAAAGGTAAAGAGCCCAGGTCCCTTTAGCACATAGGTACTGTAGTGGTGAACCTTCCTAGGCTGTTGACACTCCAAGATGGTCCCAGAGCCAAGAGATTCTATTATAATCTTATACAGAATTAACCCACCTGCCCCCTAGAAAACAAAAAGTGAGGACTCCACAAGCAGTTTGGCCATCAGTTCCGGCCCTGCCTGCACGTCTGGCTCCTTCCTAAGTCCTGTCAATGCTGTTGCATGGCTGTGTGTCCCAGCCAGATGCTGATGGACAGGCATGCCCTCCAGCACCCACCCAAAGTCTGCTTACTCTGTACTTTTCAGCTTTCTCCCACAGCCATGTTGTCTGAGGATCATTTTCTTTGGGATTGGTACAGTTACTTTCCTTTAAAGCAACTTCAGCATCTTTGCATTTTTAAAAACCCTGGAGATATTAGATGCCTCCATCTCTCTGGTGGTGTGACCTGAGAAGATGTAGACAAGTGGAGTAGGCTGCCACCAAGGTGTGCTGCATCTCCGCTGTGACTAGGCCTGGGCCAGGGCCTGCTCAGTCTTCCTCTGCAGGGGTGGGTCAGGTGGTTGCACAAGGCTGACGGAACATCCTGGCAGCCAGTGTGCACTCGTGACTACCTTAATTAACATTGGGTTTTGGGTCTGTGTAGGAAGAAACAAGGTCTAAGAAAGTATGAGTCAAGTGACAGGTCCATGTCCTTTAAAATGCATATGGTGCAGGAGATGGATTGAGGTATCCAATAGAAAAACTGATGATTTTCTACTTTTCAGTTCACTCCAAGTACATAACAACAGTGCCCCTTTGCCAGACAGCATCTATCATCTCAGAAAGTAACTTCAGCAGTGCTTATGCAGTGTTTTCAGTGTTTCAACTACTTTGAATGTCAGAAATATGCACTGAGGTGGTTATGTTAGAGTGGTTACTAATGATTATTTTGTTTTGGTTTGGCTTTTTGGTACTATAAAAGATATAATCCCTTCCACCTCCTAGTGAACAAGCATTGCCTCCATTTCTGAAAGATAAGAACTTCACTTCTCTACAAAGGAACTGGTCTTTCTGATGCATCTCTCCAAAGCCTCTGTGCTTCCTGTGTCCCAGCTGCTTTTTAGTGTTCCTAGTAAGCCAGCTGTCCATTCCCATCAAGTTGCCCTGACAATGTTGTCTCATGTCCGAGCCTTGTCAGGCATGGAGTTTCTCAAGTTGGGTGTTTGTGGGGCCACTCAGCCGACATTGCCTATGCCAGGCCACTGCCACCAGCCCCTCCACTGCCTCACGTTGGGCATATGAATTCCAGAGACCCTCAGGGAGCCAGGATAACCAGGTACCCATCTGGATTGGCCATGTTGGTGACAGGCCCTCACTCCTGGGGTTCTTGCTTTGTAGACTCCAGGGGAGCCCCACCTAGAGGCTGGTGGTAACTCCCAGGATTTCCTATGATAAGTTGGTAGAAGTCAAACCAGGATTCCTTTTGATTTGGAAGTTTGTTATGAGGTTGGGTTTTTTTTCTGTGTAAGAAAAAGAAAAGGCAAACATGGCCCTTCTGAGTTTGTAGAATTTGAGCAGTGTTTAGCCACAAGTCTTGGAAGGCTTTGATCCAGTAAGCAGTCTTAAAAATGTTTTTCCTAACTCCTTTTGCACATGACTAAGTGCAAAAGAATAGGTTTCTCATTGTATTCACAATAGTACGTAGGTCCCCTGAATATAGACAGTAGGACAGTAGTTAACATTTTTCTCAGTATGAACCAGGAAACCCATTCCAGTATTTGTAAATCGGCCTTACAAAGGAAACAGTAAGCATCATACTCCATATATTTCTAGTTGATTACCGAACTTGATGTTATAAAGAAGCCTCGATTGGGTAGACAGAATTTTTTTTCTTTTATTCAAAATAACTTTTCTTGTGCCATCACCCCCTTGAAGTTCTCAGAGTAGAGGATTATCCACAGTAATAAGTGGGGGTGCGGTGCAGTCATCCTGGTGATGTTAGGCAGAAGAGGACTGCTGTCATAACTGTCCCCCAAGTCCCCTTTTCAGGATAGCTGTGACATTTTCAGTATTCCCCTTTGTGATCTCCCAGGCTAACCCTGCACCAAAAGCCTTTTTTAGGCTTATTGTCTGTCAGGAATGTCTCAGGAAGATGAGCCATTTCTTTGGGGGGAAATAAATTTACAGATGGGGGTGTACGATTATGTGTGTGTGCGTGTGCATGCGTGAGTTCATGTGTGCATACTCTCCTCTGTACATTTCACTTTGATAAAAACTCATGCTAGGCTGTGGGGAACCAGGAGTTCCTGAGTTTTACTTGTCACAGTGACAAGCTTCTCAAGGCAGTATATTAGCAAGCTGGCTCTTGGAATGAGCCCCATTCATCAAGGAGAGAAGAGTAACAAATGAAAGAGGTGAAACCAAAAATACTATAACTCTCCCAATGGAAAGTAATGTTGATTTAGAATTCCCATTGGATATACTACATCCTCTAATTTATTATATTATTATTTGTCTGTTTCTTTAATCTTTGCCCATTGTACTCTTAAGATGATGTTGGGATGTTGATTGCAATTTTTAAAAAACTAGATAATGTATAAATCAGTTGTGGAAATCAGTTATAATTTTGGATGTGTCTGATTATTAAATGCCTTTTTAAAAAAAAAGATACATAATCTTTCATGAATCCTGGCACTGGTCAGAAAACTTACCTGTGAAAATGAAACAGTATTTTTAAACATGAATGTCAATTTAAAGTGTATGTGAAGTGGTCCCCCCAGCAAGAGACTTGTGTACTATCGGGGAAAAATCCGCAGAGGAAGTAGCCTTCTTTAGAGAAAATGGAAAATGGGTCCTGATAATTTATCTCAGAGTAGCCCATTTCTAGAGCACCATGGAATGTGCTGGAAGACACAAATGTGATCTCTTAAGTATACTCTTCCCCAATGTGGGGAGGACAGGACTCAGTTTGCACCATTTTTGTATGTAAAATAAAATGTCTCTTCTTTCTTGGCTACTTCTTTGGTTCATTGGTTTGTTTTTAATCTCCCCTGGCTCATTTCTGGCTAAGAAAATAATGCTTGATACTTTGGCATTCTTGCTTCATTCTTTGAGGCTGAATATTACCTTCTCTTATGAGTCATTTCTAAAGTAAATAGACCTAAATATGGCCATTCTCATGCTAGTTCCTGTCCTCAAGGGATAGAACACCAGGAAGTCAAGACTGCTCTAGTGAACAATATCTGGTAGCTTCATACCTGCTCTGCTGATGGAGAAAGCACACAAACATTTAACTATGGAACAGGAAGGAGCCAAAGACGATGCAGTTCAGTGTTAGAAAGTCCCCAAGTTATGTTCTCAGTTCTGCACGCACACACAAAATCCACTGAGTGTAGCTGGGCATGGTGTCTCACGCCTGTAATCCCAGCACTCGGGAGGCTGAGGCAGGAGGATCGTTGTGAGTTTGAGACCAGCCCTAGCTACAAAGTGAGCTCAAGGCCAGCCTGAACTGCATAGCAAGACCCTGTCTCAAAAAAAGACGAAAAAAAAAAAATCCATTGAGTGTTAGCTGCTTGTGCAAGAGGCTGTTTTGAACACATAGCTGGGTACTTTTTCTCAGTGTCTCTAGGCAGCATGAAACCAAGGAAAAAGGTTCATATTCCTCCACCCCTGAAAAAAGGCAGCACTAAGAGGGTGAATTTGGAAGATCATTGACAATGTCACAATTTTTGAATAAACCTCCACCCGACTAAGGTGCAAGGATAGAAAACAATAAATGTCTGCTGGAAATTTAGCTCGGCAACACAGTGCCTGCCTGGCAAGTATGAGGTAGTACGGGGTGGGGGTGGGGGGGTAGGAAACAACAAGTGTCAATCTGGTGTAAAAGGACAGGTTAGGGAATGGGGATGGCCACGCATGACTCCCAACAGCTCAGCACCCCATATAGAGACCAAACTGCAAAGATCAACCTGAGAAGGAGCTGTAGTTTGTTGCAAGTTAATCTTTGAAAATTGTTTTCTGGGTTTTGATTTGGTTTGGTTTGGTCGTACTGGGGATTAAATGCAGGGCCTTTGCACTGAGCTACATTACCAGCCCTTTTAAAAGACATTTAACACCATTTTAAAAGAAGTTTTTAAAAGACATTTAACACCATCATACATCCACAAATTAAAAAGAAAACAAGTGCGTTAATGGTTTTTATTTTTTTCCGGGTGTGCAAGAATCCTGGTATCAAAGTGTGTGTGTTGTAGACTGGAGCACCACCAATTGTGTTAAACTTCGAAATAGAGATACCTGGCATCTGATCACAGTTTGACAGTCTTGAAAACCGGAGAAGAACGATCAGCTTCAGGCCATGCTAATGCAAGCTGTCTTAACCCTACCTGCTGTTATGCACCAGAATATAGAACCAGATATACACATATACAACCAGATATATATATATATATATATATATATATATATATATATATACACACACAGATATACACATATATACAATCAGATATACAGAATATACAACAAATTTCAGTGTGCACTGATTTATGCAGTAGACTCAGAGGAGAAAAAAAGATGGGTAGCAAAGTGCCAGAAATTTTATTTGAAGCAAATTTTGCAAGACAAGAAGGAGCTGTACGTTATGCTGCATGACTAAAGGCGCGCAGAACTTTTGGAAGCTGTCACACCTAGAACAGCCACAAAGACTGCAGCCAACATCCAGGTCCCTAGCCTTCCCTGGGCCCAGCGGCTCCGCGGAGCGGGGTGGGGCGGGGCGGGGGTAGGTGGGGCGCGCTGGCTCCGATGGTCACGGGGGCCAATCTTGAGCCGCATGAGCCACAGACCCAATGAGGGTGCAGAAACGTGGCAGCCGCCCTCGCCTCCGCCTCCTACCGCGTGTCCACCCCGCCCCGTAGGGATCTACCACCTGGTGCCTAGGTGGAGGGGGAAACAGTTCCCGGCTCCCGCCAGCCCTCCGCCTGCAACCTCAGGGTCCCCCGCGCGGTGGCGGCGCCCGGCCACGCTGCCGTGTCCCCACCCTTTCCGGCCTGGCCGCCCGGCTTTGCCCGCTTCTACCGGTGGATGCTGCGCCTCTCCGAGCGCAACATGAAGCTGCTCTTCGCCGCCGCCCTCATCGTGGGCTCCGTCTTCTTCCTGCTGCTGCCAGGACCCTCCACGGCCGACGAGAAGAAAAAAGGGCCTAAAGTCACCGTCAAGGTCCGCGTGCCCCTCTCCCGCTCCGCCCGAGTCCGGCCTCGGCGCCTTCGGCCTCGGGTGTGCGGCGCTCGGCAGGGGCGTCCTTGGCTTCGGTCCTGTTCCTCCCAGCACTAGCCGTGGCCTCGTGGCGTCTGAGCCGTCTGACCCCAGTCCGAGAAGGACCCAGATCCTCCCCAGCACACCTCTGCCCTGACCTAGCAGGGTTCCTAGGCGCCCAGAATGCCCGTCGGGGCTTCGGGGACGGCCCCCAGCCAGCCTTTTTGCTAAGAACCTGCAGTGCTGCGGAAATAGCCAAATATCGGCTCCTCGCCTTCGCTCCCTTTATGATAAATCTAAGCCTCTTAGAAATTGCAAAGCACGGTAAATAGAGCTTAAATTTGCGACTTTAGCTTAAATCGCGACTTTAGATTTCCCTCCTTTCGTTTTTCTCTTTTTAATGTCAGTTTATCTTTGCCCACTTATAAGACTCAAAGATGTTACCTTGCAGTGCAAGGAGAGTGTGTACCAAAATATATTTCGGGTAAAAGGTCTGACGCCATCCTTCGCTTTTACTGTATTTTTGTACCCACCAAAGTCAAATTCAGAACCCCTGTTTTTAAATATGGCTCAGGCAGAACACATTGTAATCCCAGCTACCTGGGAGGCCGAAGCAGGAGGTTGGAAAAGTTGGAGGCCACCCTGAGAAACAAGGAGCCCCTGTTTTGAAGGTGGGTTCTCCCCGAGCAACACCCCCTTCAGACTGAGTTAGAAATAATCTTTTTTTTTTCCCCCCCTTCCCCTCAGGTGTATTTTGACCTACGAATTGGAGATGAAGATGTGGGCCGGGTAGTCTTTGGTCTCTTTGGAAAGACTGTTCCAAAAACAGTAGATAATTTTGTGGCCTTAGCTACAGGAGAGGTAAGTGGCTGGAGTAGTGATTGTTACCTCAGCATACTAGGGATAACAGCAAACAAGTGGAAGCCTTTGCTATGGCCCTGGGGACCCAGTGTTGTCATCTTAAAGAGTAAAGGCCCAGAACGTTCCTGGGAGACTTTATCGGCTACCACATTGGATTTCAAGAAAACAAGAACAGAGCACCCTTAGTCCAGTTTGGTATTGTCCACCTGTAATCCCAGCACTCGGCATACTGAGCTAGGAGGATCGCTGTGAGTTTGAGACAAGCCTAATCTACCTAGCAAGACTCTGTCTTATTGCATTGGGCTAGCAGGTGATCTTTTTTCTGTTTTCTTCCATCTGTTCTTATGATTAGGAGAGAGGGGAAAGGCACTATGTGATGTAGGATTGTATAAAGCTGAGACCTGTACAAAGGCAGAGGAAGGTGGAGTCTCAGCCTTTCCTGAGTCTGTGTGCTGAGTGCCTGACTGGCAGGGTCTCTCCTGGGAGCAGGAATTGCAGTCTGGGTTCCTGTAGGGCCTATTTGATGTCTGCATGTTGCCTGATGCCATCCCCTTTTTTGTAGAAAGGCTTTGGCTACAAAAACAGCAAATTCCATCGTGTGATCAAAGACTTCATGATCCAGGGCGGAGACTTCACCAGAGGAGATGGCACAGGAGGTAACTCTGGGTCTTTGGGGCAGAGGAGGCTATCAGCATAGCCTCCAAGGTAGAAGGCTGGGCTGTTTGGGGCAGGCCAGGCTTCTTCTGTTCCCAGCTGCGAGAAAGCCCTTTTGCTTATGTAGTGACAGCTGTCCCTTTCTGAGCAGAGGGGTACAGCACAAAGGAGAGAGAGAAAAGGGTTCAGGTGGACCCAAGAGATCTCCTCTGAGAGAGGAGGATGGAAGGCTGGTGTGGCAGTGAAGAACAAACACATGGGTAGGCACGAAGCCTATGTGCCCCAGCCAGGGTGCAAGGAGGCAATCACCTTGGTTGACCCCATTAAGGAACAGAGACAGAGAACAGAAAGATAGACCCCCAGGACTAACTGCTTAGATGCCCGGCCTGCTATTTCCTCCATCCCAGGAAGGAGGTACTAAGGGTGGGAAGATCAGCAAGCAGCAGCTATCTCAGCTACCCACCCACCTGGTACCTGAAAATTCCCTAGTGGGCCATAAATGCAGCATTCAGGACTTGAAGGCTTTGCCTTCAAGTTGTTTATTGTCAAGGTAGGAAGAACTAGAAAGAAGTCCTGAAAGCTGCTTAGCAACACAAGACTTGAGAACTAGCTGAAGGCAGCCGTGAACCCAGAGGCACGATGTGGAGATCCTACAAACAGCAGTACTCATGAAGGTGGACACAATTGGGATTGAGCCGGTGTCTGCCACCCTTTTACTCAGTGACCACAGACAAGCCAGTCCTCCAGGTCTCCACATCCTCTTCTGTACGGAAGAGAGGTGAGGGTGGTGGGCACACAGGCTTAGATAAGATCTTGGGTGTCATGTGCCTGGTGAGATCAGGCCTCGGGCCAGGAAGTGGTCTGTGAATGGGAAGGGTGGCTCCGAATGGACACATGGGCAGGTTAAGCTGCGAGCCTGGCTTTGTTCTATAGCAGGAGCTTGGCAAAGGGGAGCTGGGGGTGGAAGTAGAACACATCTGGCACAGAGAGGTGAGTTTTAGTTAGAACCCCAGTTTTGCACTCTTAAGGATTAGGGTCCTGCTGAAGATGTGAATGGAAGGACAACACAGTCACAAGGGATGAGATGTGGTATGAGGCATCGATGGCCAGCTGCTGCTGAGGTTTTGTGCAGCTGTTCTATGGTAGGGCAGCATGGGCCTAGAGCCCTGGACGGACAGTAGCTGAGTATGGCAGAGACCTGGGAATCAGGACACCTTGGGAACCACCCTGGGATTCTCCCTCTGCTACTTCCCAGCTACGCACCTTTTGACCTCTCAGTGTCTTCATCCTGCCTCAATGGATCGTTAGATCGAAATGCCTAGAACAGTCTCCGCCTGTTCTCAGGCCCACCAGGGACTGAGACAGTTACAGAAAAGGGGAGAAAGGATGAATACAGGAGCGTGCAGAGAAGAGGTTGCCAAGAGTGACTGGGGTTTGATTCTTACTGGCTTTCAAGAGAGGAACTACTCAGAGTTTGGGAATGGACTTAAGACTAAGGATGTGTGCTATAGGTTTGGGATCTTTTAGATAACAACACTGAGAGCCTGTGATTGGTTGAGGTTTACCCTCTAATGAGAGTACCCTGGCTGGGAGTCACCATACCAGGTGGCCATTCTGGGCTTTCAGTCTGACCACCAGGGACACCGTCAGCACTGACTTACCGGTCACCCTGTCTGGGGTAGTTTACCAAAGTACAAATCACTTGTTTATTTATTTTTGGTACTGAGAATTGAACTCAGGACCTTGTGCTTGTCAGGCAGGCGCTTATGCCACTGAGCTATAACCTGGCCCGCAAATGAGTTCTTTAATGCAGACTTTCTCCAGGCCTTCAGTCCACTGAGGCAGGGGTGAGTTGCCAACAGGTGACAGGAGAAAAGGGTCCTGGTAGTGCTGTCCTGGAACTGGCTGAGGAGTGCGGTGGCTTAGAGAACTGCACATGGCTCTCTTGTCATGTGCCCCAGCCCCAGAGCTGACAGGGACAGACTCACGACCCAGATCTACCAGATCCACCAGTGCCTTTTATTTTATGCCCATTCTTGTAAGAGGCTCTAGAATCTCCAGAACTCATTCAGTTGTCCCTCTGTACCCATTCCGTATCCATCCATGCTGCATATGCCTGTCTGCTGTGCAGCCCCACAGTGTCCTCCACCAAAGTCCCTCAGGCCACAGAGTGCAGGCCTTCACTCAGAAGCCACGAAGTCCTCTGTCCAGTGTGCTGTTCAGGACATCAGCCTGGCTGACCCCACCAACACCTCCCACCCACTCCGGATCTGGGTCAGCAAGGTTTTTGGCTTTAGGGCTAGAGGCTGGAGAGGGGCAGCTTCTCTGTGTCCAGGGACTACACCTAGCCTGGCACAGAGGACTGGTTGGGCTGTGCAAAATCCTCTTCTAAGGTCTGCCCAGTATGGGCTAACCCCATACCTCCCAACCTACTCTGCCCTCTTCCTAGGCAAGAGCATTTATGGCGAGCGCTTCCCAGATGAGAACTTCAAGCTCAAGCACTATGGGCCCGGCTGGGTGAGCATGGCCAATGCTGGCAAAGACACCAATGGCTCCCAGTTCTTCATCACTACTGTAAAGACAGCCTGGCTTGATGGCAAGCACGTGGTATTTGGCAAAGTTCTAGAAGGCATGGTGAGTCCTACTGCAGACCTAGGGTGGGGGCTCCTTGGGTTTCATCCTATTCTCAGAAGAACCTAAGCCACAGATTCAGGGCAGCATTCATCTCCCACCCTGGGGTGAATCGAGAACAGCCAGCTTGTACCCAGCAACTCAGGAGGCCGAGATAGGAGGATCAGGTGAGACCAGGAGTTTGAGGCTAACCTGGTCTCCATAGCAAGCACTCCTAAAACAAAAATGCAGCCTGCATCTCCAAGCCTCTCAGGTTCTAAACCCCTTGAGGCCCCAGCAGCAGCAGAGCCCAGCAGGCCTGTGGAAACCCCAGAGCTGCAGGATCTTGTTCGTCATTCACTAAATGGGGCTGCCTGGAGTACAGCTGAATGTGGTAGCCCTGAGCAGCTATTAGTTAGCTCACTGCCCGCTCACTCTGCTTCCCTCCTTCGCAAGCCTTCACAGCACTTCAGTATTCCCTCAGTGTCAAATCTGCAAGGAAACATGTTCTCACACGGTGGCATGGCACCTTTGCCACTGGCTCATTAGAACTTGGTACCTCAGGGTTGGTGGGCTCCTTGTCCCTCCTGAGCCACACGCTGGGGTCTGTCTCCAAGGGTGGCTCCCCTCACTTGACCAACCATCCCTTCCCAGGAGGTGGTGCGGAAGGTGGAGAGCACTAAGACAGACAGTAGGGACAAGCCTCTGAAGGATGTGATCATCGCAGACTGTGGCAAGATAGAGGTGGAGAAGCCTTTTGCCATTGCCAAAGAGTAGAGCACCAGGGACCTCTGCCCTCTGCGTGACCATCAGCACCAACCCTGCTGCCCTTGTGAGGGTGAAGGTGGCCTGGCCTAGGGCTCCATGCTGCACTGTCCCAGTGCTGGACCACTTGCCTCACATTCCACAGGCCAAATTTTGTAACAAACTACTGGTATCATTGCTGACCAATAAAAAAAAGTGAGTTTTTTTTTTATATATATATGTGTATATAAAACTTGTGTGGGTTGGCTTAGATCTGTGGTCCCTCCCCCATGAAGATGTGTCCCAGTCAAGATTCTGCCACAAAGGTGGGTGCTTGCTCTATCCCCAGGCTCCCCAATGTCACAAGCTGCTGTACCTAAACCTTACTTCCCCTGCCCTCTCCTGGTCTGTGTTAAGAATTACGTCTATATCCCCCTTCTACCTCTAAACTGTCTTTCCTTTTATTCCTCATCTCTCCCTCCCTTGGCCCCTGCCTGGACACTGAGACTACCCCAGCTGCCCTCACATCCTGGGTTCAGAGCCTTGATGGGGCACAGGGCATGGTAGATTGCTGGGTCCAGGCCGAAAGGTGACCTAGCCCTGGTCCTTGGCAGTGGTGCAACTGAGGCATGTGACTCCTCACAGCTGGAAGAGGTTCCCGGACTCTTCAGGGCATGGGTGGCAGAGAAACGGGGTCATAGCCGCAGGCTGGGCTGGGGCTGGGCTGCTGCTAAATCCATAGAGTCCATGGAGCACACCATTCACCACCACGTCAGGCAGAGACTCTGAAGCAAGCAGAGTCGTCAAGGGACAGGCCTGCAGCTTCTTCAAAGTTGCAGATAGCACCTGTCCACCCTGTGAAACACTGGCATTCCAGGCCACCCTCTGCTCTTAGCTTGGTATGCCAGGCTGATGGGGAATGACCCATCTCATGCCAGGCCCATCTCACTGGTGTCCCCAAAGGCCACACAGCTACAGGAGCAGCACACAGTGGCCCCAAAGGGCAGTAGAAGGGAGATGCTGCCTGGGATGCTGTGACGGAATGGTAAGGCCACCCTGGCACCTAGGGCCCCAAACACAGGTAAGAGGTAGCTCCTTACCTGGGGAAGGGATGCAAAGGTAGGGATCCCTGCAGAAGGTGACCACAGGCCGGTGGTGCAGCTGTGAGCTGGGAGGGAAGAGGCTCATGAGCCATGGTATTACAAAGAAGCTGAGGACAGATGGCCAGGGACCCACAAAGGGAGCTGGGAGGGGAGTGGGTGCAGGAGGCAGCAGAAGCTACAACTCGCACATGGCCACCAGGGGGCAGCAGGCGAGCAGAGGCCTGCGCTTTCACTTGCCTGCTGCTGTCACTAGGCAGGAATTCCCCCAGGGTGCTGAAAAGAAGAGAGGCTCTGTAAACTGGGGGTGCCCGGGAGGGGAGCAGAAGGGAGGGGATAGGAGGGAGGAATGGAAACACATAAGCCCAGAACTTCAGGTCCCATGGGACCTCACTTCTATCAGTTCTGGAGGCAGAGGCAGCTAGGGTAACCAAGGTTGTCCGAAACCAACTTCTCCAGGGTCAGGAAAGCTGATGAAGGAGGGTCAGGTCTCAGGAGGGAGGACCAGACCAGAGCCTCACAGATGGGAGGAGGGAAAAGGTTTACTGTTCCAAACCCTCCCTCACTGGTTTGCTGCCAGGAGCCCCTGGCACTCCTCACCCCCAGCTGCTGGCCTTGGGGTCCGCTGGGAAGTGTCGGAGTCTCAGGAATTCCAGTAACTCCTTGGGCACATTTTGGTTCAGGTACAGGATGCCCTAGAGAAGATGGCCCAGGAAACCTATAATCAGAGCCAGCTACTAATTTACACAGCCCAGTGCCAATGAGAATGTGAGGCCCTTTGTTCCAAAATAGCCAAGATTTCAAGGCAGTGCGGGCAGTGCTGGGTCTTCTTGTGGCCGCACAAGTTGGTGCCCCACAGAAAGTGTCTAGCTCTCATCCCTCATACTTCTCTCGGGGAAGAGCCCCACTTAACTTCCCCTTATGAGAGCAGCCAGGGTCTTACCCTGAAGGGAAGGGATGCTTGCCTCCCTGCTGCAGCTTCACTGAACTCTTTCAGTGATCTAGAGAAGGCTACTGGTACTTGACAGTGTCGACCCTGAAGCCGGGGTGGTAAATAACATCTACTAGTGTGGGAGCTCCCCACCCTCCTGCACCCCTCTCTCTGGGTCTTCCGCTGCTACTGCTGGCTAGAGGCACCCGAATATGGCCCCTTCCCAAGCGCCTGGATACAGGCACCCGATTTTGCCCCCGCTCCTGGATACAGGCACTGGAGAGTGATCCCCTTACAATCAGATGCAGGCACCCAAGTGTGCCCCGCACACACCTGGATATAGGCCTCCAACCCCTGCCGCCGCTGTTCCAGGTTCCTGGTCCTCCAGCTGGGCAGGCGCTTCGACGGGAAGTCAGGCACTTTGTACAGTTTCTTGATCTGCAGGGAGGTCACCCAGGTGTGGCCACAGAGTTTCAACCCAGAACTCCAGGCTGCTCCACCCTAATCCGAGCCAGTCCTCCCTGTAGCCCTAAGGCTTCAACCCAAGCAGACCCTGATGCCGGCAGTCGGGTCAAGGGCGAGGAACGCCCAAGAGCGGGCTGGGCGCGCAGGGGCAAGGTCGGCGGCGGCTGGCGTCGCCCTCGCGCGCGCCAAGGGAGGCTGGAACCCAGCTCCGAGGACCCCGGGTGGCTCACCCGCTTATGCAGCGCGTGGAACTCGCTGTAGCGCCGGTGCACAGAGTGCCTCCGCCCGCGGCACCGCACCTCCACGCGGAACACCTGGCGGTAGAGGCGCGCGTGAGGCTCCCCTCGCGCCCCAGGCCAAAGGCCGCCCGCGGCGCCGCTCCCCGGGACCCGCCTCCCGCGCAACTGGGGGACACATGGCCGACCCTCCCGGCCGCGGTTCAGGCACAGAGACCCAACCCGGGTTCCCGACTGCCTGGCGGGCAGCGTTCGCGCGCAGGTCCCCACTACCCTGGGCGGGGTCCCCTCGCCCCTCCCCATCCCGCAGGCGCGCTCACCATGTGGCCTTTCTCCGTGCTCTGTCTGGGCTCCTCGGCCTCCGGCCCCACGGACGGGATGTGAACTTCCAGCATCCGCGCCTGGCCGCCGCTCCTCCAGGAGCGCACTCAGAGGCCGACTCCTCTGGAGCCTACACAGACCCCTGCAGAGCCCCGCCCCCGGACCAAGCCCCGCCCCGGACTAGGCCCCGCCCCAACTCAGACTCAGGCTCCGCCCCAGGATTAGGCCCCGCCCCAGCGCTCCTGGCGCCGCCGGCAAGAAAGCAGCGAAGACAAGGCGGGGTTTGGTGCCGCCCCTGCCGCCCGTAGGGGCGTCGCGGGGCAGCCGCCCTCTGCGAGGTGGCCTGTGTTCCTCCTCTGTTCTCTGTGGGGCGCCCCGGAAGGGCCGCGGCTGGGGGCGCGGGGACCTGGGCCCGGGCTGACGGCGACGCGACGCGGCTCGCTGCCCACAGACCCGGCCCCGGGAAGGCCAGGGCCCAGCCCGGCTCTAACATACGCCCAGCATGGAGGTTGAACCGCGGATCTTCTCACTGACCTTTTCTACCCAACTTTAAAATTTTTTTTTTTCTTTTGAGACAGGGTCTCCCTAAATCCCCCCAGCCTGGGCTCGAATTTGTCATCCCCCTGCTTCAGCCTCCCAGACTGCTGGGATTACAGGCGTGCTCTACAACACCCAGCAGTTGAGGCCTCTTGATCCTCAGTTTTATGGTTTTTTTTTTTTTTTTTTTTTTTTTTTTTTGGCGGGGGGCGTAGGGTATCCTTTGATTCTTGTTTTTAAACCCTAACTTGCTCGCAGCCCAGTCACGTGGAAGAGGGAGCGTTTGTGCTTTGTAGGTCACACAAGCCTGGCTCTAGGGAGCCGGGGTGACAGGTCTCTTTTTGCCAGGCGCTGGGCGCCGGGGGCAGCTGTAGTCTCCGCTGCAGGAGACTGAGGTGGGAGGACAGTTTGAGGCTAGCGGTCCAAGGCAAGCCTGGGCCACTTAGTGAGACTCTGCCTCAAAATAAATAAAAACTAGAAATCCTGAGTGAGACAAGCTAAATCTCACCTTCATCAGAGCGGGTTTCTGGTAACTGGCAGCTTGATCGAGCATATGACCCGGAGGGACAGAAGATTGCTGATGGGTGGGTAGGAGGGGCAAGTACAGGGCAAGTTCAGGAAAAAGGGAGTGTGGGGTGGTGGCACCAGGCTGCACTTGCTCACTGCTGTGGGAAGGGTCTTGCAGGTGATGTGGTGCAATTTGCATCTCACCCCAGTGCTGATCAGGATCCCACCTTCCATTTCTAGCCCCATCACTGCTACAAGGGATTCACTGTCATTCCACAGCACCAGGGCAAGACTTTTCTATGCCACGGACTCCCCTAAAGGTCTAGTGAGGTGGGCATGGGGAGGCCCTGCCCCACCCTTTTTTTTTTTTTTTTTTTTTTTGGCTGGTGATCAAACCCAGGAGCAGTCTATCACATAGCTACATCTCCAGCCCACCTCCTCCTTTTTTTTTTTTTTTTTTTGCAGTAGCCGGTATTGAACCAGGAGCTGTCAAAAGGCCAGCTCTTTTTTTATTTTTTATTTTTTGTTTTTAGTTGGTCTTTTCGAGACAGTCTCACTATGCAGTTTAGGCTGGCCCCTGAGCTCACTTTGTTGCCTTGGATGGTCTTGAACTTGCAGTGATCCTCCTGTCTCAGCTTCCTGAGTGCTGGGATTTCAGACATACTTCTTTTTTATTTTGTATTTTGAGAGAGGGTCTTGCTAAATCCCTGGATTGCCCTGGCTAGACTTATACCTGTGATCTTCCTGACTCAGCCTCCCCGAATTCTTGGATTACAGGCAGGTACCATGAGGACTGTCTGAGGCCTTCCCTGGCAGAAACTTATACGTTGTACAAGGCCTTGGGGCAGGAAACAGGAAGCAGGGTGCTGTCTTAGGGACATGCCCCCTCCTGTCCATGTAGAGATGCTTCTGGTCTGCCCCAATGAGGGGCTCAGAGGATGACCCCTTGGGGGTGGGCGAAGGTCTCACCACTACTATGTCCCACACTTTATTCCTCCAAGTTCCATTGCACAGGGGCCCCAGAATCTAGAAGCTGAAACCTGGAGCCTGACGTGGGCCACTGGAAGGGAAACAACCCACTGTGAGGAGAAGTGCTAGGGTTTCATTTCCTTCCTGGCATTCAGAACCATGTCATTCAGGGACCCAATTCACCCTGACCTGTGAGATCTCCCCAACGCCTCCTGGGCAGGCACCCATCCTAATGAGTGTGTGTCCCTTTGTCCCTGAGTCTCCCTCTTTTTCCTTAACTCCCTCCCCAATCTGAAGTTGTTTTCCACCCTGTCACACACCCTGTCCACACCACATACACTTTCTAACCACACTTGGAAGGAACTCACTCTGCTGCCATGGACCACAAAGGCCTGCAGCTCAGCCTCCCTGTCCCACCTCATTGCCTCTTTTCTTCCCCCTCACGTGGCAGTCTTCAGTCTCAAAGACTTTTTCTTATTCTCCAAACCTGACGAGTGCTTTCTTACCTCAGGACCTTTGTACTAGCTCTTTCCACTATCTGGACACTCTGCCCTGACTCCTGTTCTGAGCCTAGAACTCAGCTCCTCAGAAAGGCTTTCTTGGGCCAAGGATTTAGCTCAGTGGCATAAACACCTGCCTGGCAAATGCACGGTTGAGAGTTCGATCCCTGTTTCTGCAAAAAAAAAAAAAAAAAAAAAAAAAAAAAAGGCTTTCTTCCTGACCCCCATCTTGCCCCTCTGTCTGTGCATGTTTTACAGTCCATGATTATCCTGTGTCTCCACTGTTGTTCTTAAGTATAGGTGCTGGGAGGGATGGAATGGTGAGGTACTTTCTTTACCCATTGTAATAGTCACCCTGATTTCTCTTGCAACAAGACACATCAACAAGAGACAAGCTTAACAGGTTGATGTAGTCCAGGTTTTATGTGACACAGACCCTTCAGAAAGGGATGAGGTGGTGTACACCTGTAATCCCAGCACATGGGAAGCTGAGGCAGGAGGATCACCATAAGTTCAAGGATAGCCTGAGCTACAATAGTGAGACCAAATGTCTCAAAATACCTAAAAAGAAAGAAAGAAAGGCCCAAAGATCCAGGGAAAAAGCTCTTTTTATTATTTAGGTCCAATGAAATAAGGACAGCTGTATAGAAATGAATGGGACTGGATGAAAGGGTGAGGACTACTGGAAACAGACTGAACAGGAAACGTAGCAGGACCTGTCCAGCTTCTTTTTGACCTCACCATTTAACACTCTGCCCTCCTGGGTGTCAGCAGGATCCCTGTGGAATGAGAAAGAGAAAGAAGAGACACAGCTCCCTTCCTAGGTGTTTTTGTGGGCCAGGGATATAGCTTAGTGGCACAAATAACTGACTGACAAGTACAAGGTTCCAGTACCAAAAAAAAAAAAAAATATGGGGGTGGTATCCTCCTAGGTGTTTTTATTTTTTGTATTGTATAGTCCTAGAGATTGAACCCAGGACTTTCACACTGAGCTACATCCCCAACCATTTTTAAATTTTTCATTATGAGACAGCATCTCACTGAGTTACAAAGGCTGGGCATGAATTCACTGTTCTCCTGCCCTTAGCCTCCCAGAATGCTGGGATTACAGCCACGTGCCACCATGGCTGGCGACTTTCCTGGGCTTTGTGGCTTGCTTTAGGGCAGTTTCTATGACCCATTTTGAGGAAGAGAAAGTCTGGTTTCTGTGGCACACTTCATGGGAGAAAGTAGGGTAGCAGAGCTTGCTTCTGAGGCTCTTTTGGATCTCTTTTTTATTTCCTTCCCCTCCCCTCCCTTTCCCTCTTTTTCCTTCTGTTCCCTTCCCTTCTCTTTCTTCTTCCTTCTTTCCTTTCTTCTGTGGTAGGGATGGAACCCAAAGCCTTGCACATGCTAAAGTATACACTATAACACTGATCTCTACCCTTAGTCTCAGTCTCCTTTAGTTCTAAGCATGGCAAGGCTTCTTGCTTTGGGGTTTCATGTCCTGAGTACCAACACACTGGAGAGAGGTTTGCTGATTGAAAGACTGAATGGGCAGTGGATGGATGCTGAACAGCTGGGGTGCGGGAAGCGTGGAGGGAGCAGGGGTTGCTCAAGGGTTAGAAGGCTTGTGTAGAAATTTTTAAAAATCCTCATTGACCTGTCCATCTGTACCTCTCTTTCGACAGACTGTTGTCCATTTTATTGCTTAATCTTCATGTGTTCCTGAGAAGCCTCCAGACAGTGGATTTTTATCACTAGTTACAACTGACTTGTAAGACTGTCATGGTAAACCTGCTGCTCCTCATTCTACAGTGACCCATGGTAAGTACAGATATGTTTTGGTTAATTTTCCCACTGCTGAGACAGAATCCCTGACATCTAAAGTTAAAGGAGAAAAAGTTTATTTAGCTCACTTTGTAGTTGGCTGGCGTCAGGCAGGGTGGCATGGCAGGGGGCATCGCATAAGGGAAACAACTCATGGCTGCCAGCAAAAACAAGCAGTCAACCCTAGATGAGCCTGCTTTTATCTCTTATGTCTTATCTAGGTTACTGGCCCAGTAGCACTCATACCTTAATCCTAGGACCATTAACCCTAGCAATGTAGGGGCTGGAGATTTAGCTCAGCGGCATAAGCGCCTGCCTTGCAAGCAGGCAGTCATGAGTTCGATCCCTGGTACCGATAAAAAGGAAAAAGACAAAAAAAAAAAAAAAAATCCTAGCAATGTACTGTGGATCAATCCCAGTGTCACACACTCTAGATCCAGCCACCTCAGAAATAGCCCCACAGGGTCATCCAGACACAAGCCATAACAAGATCCAAATGACAAAAAGCATGATTCTTGACCTAGAGATACTACTTATGTCTGTGGCAGAAAGGAGAACTTATCAGGGATATTTCTGTACAAAGAGCAATATATGATGTGATATAAACTTCAAAGCAGTTTTTACAGTCCAAGCTTACTTCTTGTACACTTTAAGCACTGACCACTATGACATTTGAACATTGCTAAATTCTAGACTTACATGATGGATATAGAGACCTCATAGTGACTTCTGTTTTTTGAATGAGCCATATTGCACAAATCTTTGTCTTTTCTTCATCACTGTCAAGCACATGAATTTAGTTTCCAAATTGCTGAGTGAAAGGTACTTGCCAGT